TGGGAAGACAGCAGAGTAGAAAGCACCAGGAATCTGTCTTCCCACCCAGACAAAAATTATACTGCCACAAAAAGGCAACCCACAGAATGGGAGAAAATATTTGCAAATCATATACATATATATGATAAGAGATTAATATCCAGAATATATAGAGAACTCCTAAAACTCAACAACAAAAAATTAAACAATCCAATAAAAAATGGGCAAAGAACTTGAATAAACATTTCTCCAAAGAACATAAACTAATGGCCAATAAGCCCATGGAAATATACTCAATGTCACCGATAATTAGGGAAATGCAAATCAAAACTACAATGATTAGGCACATGTGTGTGGTAATGGATTGTAATTAGTATTTGGGTGGTGAACGTGATGTAATCAATGCAGAAATAGAAGTATAATGATGTATGCCTAAAGTTTATGCAATGTTACAAAACCAATGTTACTGCAATAAAAAATAAACTAAAAATTAAAAACAAAACAAACAAACAAGAAAACTACAATGAGACACCACTTCACACTGATTAGTATGGCTACTATCAAAAAACACAGAAAATAACAAGTGTTGGCATGTATGTGAAGAAATTAGAACCTTTGTGCATTGTTGGTGAGAATGTGAAATGGTACAGCCACTGTGGAAAATAATATGGCAATTCCTCAAAGAATTAAAATAGAATTACCATATAATCCAGCAATTCCTCCTCTGGGTTATACCTCAAAGAATTGAAAGCAGGATCCCAAAGAGACATTTGGACACCCGTGTTCATAGCAGCGTTATTCACAATAGGTAAAATGTGGAAGCAACCCAAGAGTCCATTGACAGATGAATGGATAAGCAAAATGTGGTATATACATATAATGCAACGTTATTCAGCCTTAAAAGAGAAGGAAGTTTTGACAGTAAAACATGGATGAATCTTGAAGACATTATGCTAAGTGAAATAAGCCAGTCACAAAAAGATAAATATTGTATGATTCCACTTATATGAGGTACTGAGAGTGGTTAAAATCATAGAGACAGAAAGTATAATGGTGGTTGCCAGTGGCTAGGGGACTCGAGAATGGGGAGTTAGTGTTTAATGGGTACAAAGTTTCAGTTTTCCAAGATGAAAAGAGTTCTGGAGATAGATGATGGTCATGGTTGCACAACAATCTGAATGCACTTAATACTCCAGAACTGTACACTTAAAAATGGTAAATTTTACCACAAAAAAAAAATCGAAAAGAAATGCTAGTAGCAGATTTAGAACATGCTGCTGCATGGAAATTTGTGGCAGAATGGATTTATCTACCACCTCTGAAATATATGTTACACAAAAGACAGAGACAGAAGAAACTGAGTAAAGACAAGGCGTGGGGGAGAATTGCATCAAAGTCTAAGGTGACCTCGACAGTCACTCCAGTTCAGAGGTTTTTGAGGGGCATTCTCCACGAGGAGGATGCTGTACCACCTTCTCCACTCAAAAAATACAAAACAGAAAGCAGCTACTGTAGAATAAATGGCCTGTGGAAACCTTGACATTCTGTCTGCAGAGGGTGGAGAAAATTAGACTGATTAACAGGAGGTTGAGATTGAGGGAAATGCAAAGTTACTCCTTATATTGTGATATGCCCTGCTCCTAAGATAGAATGGAGGCTGTGTCCCTACAGAAAACCAGGTTGCCAGAATGCAGGAGTCAGAGCAGAAGTGGAAAAGAAAAAGAAAGTGGAGAGGAAAAGGAAGGGAGAGGGCAGGTAACACAGGGTACCCCAGCTCAGAGCTCCACCCCCCAGCGCTGTAAGCAGGGTCGTATCTGAATTATTACACCAGAGCTCCTTCAGTCTACTCACAGGGAAAAGCACCGGTCTCACAGCAGGGGGACGACGTGCATCAGAAATACCGGTGGTGCTTTTTAAAATCCAGACCCCTGGATCCCACCATAGACGTGAATCAGAATCTCTGGAGGAATAGGTGATTGTTACAAGCTGCAACCACACTTATGCTCTGAAAACCTTTTCAAAGTCATCAGAAAGACTTAGCTGGCATTACAGAATTTATGCCACCATAAGTGACAACTTGGGCTGGGCAGCTGGCCATCACCGTGCTGTAGCCCTCCAAGAGGGGTTTTAAGGAGATCAGATGGATTATAGCTCTGATCCCAAGAGATACAAGACAGAGCACCTCATGGCATCTGTGGCAGATTGTGTTTTCCAGAGATGGCTGCAACAGAATCTCCTGTCCTTTATGCTCTTCAAGCACCTTGCCACACCCCATTAAGAGTTAGTTTCCGTCCCCTCCCCCTTGAACCTGGGTGGACTTTGCAACTGCCTCACCCAAGAGACTTCAGCAGAGGTGATGCTATATGACTTCTGAAGCTAGATCATAAAAATGTCATGCACTTCCATATTGTTCTCTTAAGAGGCTTGCCCTGGATGCCTAGCAACCGTATTATGAGGCAATCCAAGCAGCCTTTGGCATGGCTAGTGTAGAGAGGAGCCCAGGTCACCCCAGGCTCAAGCTCTGGCTGAACTTCCAGCCAAGAGGCAGCACCATCTAGCCATGTGAGTGAATCATCTTGAAAGGCTATCCTACAGCCCGAGTTGAGCTAACTGAGTTTGCATTGCATGAGCAGAGACAGGGTGTCCTGCCCAAATTGTAGACTCTTGAGCAGAAGAAATGACTGTTGTTGTTTAAGCCACTAAGCAGCAACAGCTAACTCTGAACAGCATCCGTGGGAGGTGGGAAGTACGGATAATCATCACATACTCTGGAAAAGTGAGATGAATCCTCTTCTGCTGTTCTTTGCTTTGTCAATCTGTAAAGCTTCTACCTGTCTCCCCTCATCTGCCCTCAACTACCTCCAAGGAGTTGCTGCTTCTTGGCTCTAGCAATTTACTTCTTACGTGCAGTAGCATTTAAGGAGGGTTTTGATATAATTGAAGGAAGTAGCCTGATATGTGGGAGGTTGTGGCATTTGAAATACACAGGATAAAGCACGATATCAAGAATGGGAGAATGAGACTAAATAACTATTCTCGGCTAGATCAAAGATTTAAGAAAAATCTCATTTATCATAAATTTTATGTACAAACACGTATAAAGTGTGTTGTAATTTTCTTTTTTTTTTGTGAGGAAGATCAGCTCTGAGATAACATCTGCCAATCCTCTTTTTGCTGAGGAAGTCTGGCCCTGGGCTAACATCCATGCCCATCTTCCCCTACTTTATATGGGACGCCACCACAGCGTGCACAAGTGGTGCATCGGTGCGCGCCCGGGATCCGAACCTGGGCCGCCAGCAGTGGAGCACGCCCACTTAACCACTATGCCACGGGGCCAGCCCCCTGTAATTTTCTAATAAGCTATATGGAAGACATATTATTTTGCTTACTGGCAGAATTCCATCCCTATCCTGCACCTTTGGGGCTGTGGTTCCTGGGACTAGAAAGCTGAGAAGGAACTAAATTGCTCTGTGTAAGAAAGGTGTGTGGACTGCACCCCGTGTTCATGGCAGCATTATTTACAGTAGTCAACTCATGGAAACAACCTAAGTGTCCACTGAAAGACGAATGGATAGAGAAAATTAATTAATAATAAAAATTAATTAATAATAAATACATACTAATTAATGATAATGAAATATTATTCAGCCATAAAAAAAAGGAAATCCTGCCATTTCCGACAACCTGGATGGACCTTGAGGGCATTATGCTAAGTGAAATAAGTCAGACAAAAAAAGACAAATACTGTATGATCTCACTTATGCATGGAATCTAAAAAAACCCCCAAAACCAAACTCATAGATGCAGAGAACAGATTGGTGGTTGCCAGAGGTGGTGGGTGGGTGGGTGAAATGCGTGAAGGGGGTCAAAAGGTACAAACTTCCAGTTATAAAATAAATAAGTCCTGGGGGTGTAATGTACAGCATGGTGACTATAGTTAATAATAGTGTATTGCATATTTGAAAGTTGCTAAGAGAGTAAATCTTAAAAGTTCTCATGACAAGAAAAAAATTATAACTGTGTGGTGATGGATGTTAACCACAATTATTGTGGTGATCATTTTGCAATATATATATATACACACACACACACATCAAATCATTATATTGTACACCTAAAACAATACAATGTTATATGTCAATTATATCTCAGTAAAAAAAAAAGCTGCGTTAACTTGTGGGGGGGGTGGGGAAGAAAGGTATGTGGAGCCCCTGTGCTGGCTTGCTGCAGGAAATAGCTTTGGGGAGGATAGAAATTTCCCATGGGAGTTTTAATTAGGTGGTTTGCTGTATGACATAGTTGTATGTCATAGCTGCACATCCTTCTAGTTGCTGTATGTGGGACGCCACCTCAGCATGGCCGGAGAAGCAGTGCATCGGTGTGCGCCCGGGGTCCAAACCCGGGCCGCCAGTAGCGGAGCGTGCGCACTTAACCGCTAACTCACGGGGCCGGCCCCTCTCTTTTCTTTATATAATCTACGGTAAACTCTGCATTGCTCAGCAAGTACTTCCTGGATGGATTTACTTTATGGGGCTGTAAAGAAGTGCCAAATGCATTTCAGACTCCCAAAGGAGGAAAGCCACACTTTCCTGGGGTGAGGGGCCGCAGAGAGTAACACCTGGCCTCCCAGCGGAGGGAAAATCCAGAATAATAATACGTAAAGGTAAAAATATAGAATAAAGAATCTCCATGTACTGGATAAAGAGAACAGATTAGTGGTTACCAGAGGGGAAGGGGGTGGGAGGTTGGGTGAAAGGGGTAAAGGGGCACATATATATTGTGACAGATAAAAACTAGACTATTGGTGGTGAGCACGATGCAGTCTATACAGAAACCGATATATAATAATGTCCACCTGACATTACACAATCTTGTAAACCCATATGATCTCAATAAAAATTAAAAGAAAAAAAAAGAATCTCCACGTACTCATCATTCAACTTTGACATTTGACAACCTTGGGTTCATTTTTTAAAAGAAGCATATTGTAATTTTCCATGAAGCACAAGAATTGTTGAGCAAATTTTTTTAATGGCAGTCATCTTAGAGAACAGCAATGGAAATATATTTCTTTCAAAATAAACTGGAAATTAAAAATGTTTTGAAGCCATTTGAAACCATCTGATCAGTGGAATTACTTTCTAAGATTTGAGGTGAGATAACACTTAATAGATGCAATATTTCATTCCAGCATTTTCTTTCACCACAATGTGAATTTGACCTGTAGAAATAAGAAAACAAAAGAAAAAAGAAAGAATAAATGAATGAAAGAATTAGGATTTATGAGTTCCACGTTTCTTTACAGTATCTTGTTCCAAATATCAAAACTTCCATTCCACCCCTACCCTACTGCTAAAATGCTACATTTTAAAAATCGACACCAAATAATGGCCCCTGGTTCAGTACAATCTATTAGGAAGAGTTGTGACCTCCAAGTAAGATTCAGATGAGTCTCCTAGGTTAGGGCCTCATTATGTTTCTTCCTTGAAAGTTTCGATCATTTACTCATCCACAGTATTTAATAAGTGCCTACTATGTGACAGGCACTGTTGCTAGGTGGCTGGGTGAACCAAAAGAATGCTCTGTGATTGCCCGAGTTACCTTCTGTTACCAAATGTTGATGAATCATCAAACATGTGAAGGTAAGAGTCTCCAAAAGGTGGAGAACCAAAAACAATTTTTTTCATTGTCTGGATGACAAGACCAGTAAACTGCCACATTCTAATTCCCTTAGAGCTAGTTTGGCATCCAATTCTGAGTCAAATTGGTAACATAGGGCTTTAAGGAACGTTACTGCTTGGGAAGAAAGACAACAGTAAATTCTTGGGAGGTAGGGTCTAAGAGGAAAAAGAATGACGAGAAAACTCCCCATCTTGACTTTGCTTGAAAGTGAATAAAGCACTTCAGTCACTGAGGAAAAGCATTTACAAAGCAATCAGAAGACAAATACGAGGATACCAACATGGTACCAAAATGCAACATACTGAAGCGTGGTTCATGCAGAGGACATTATTTTGTGCTGCTTGTGGCAAAACAGCTTAGTGAGACAGACAGCACCAATGTCAACCAATCATACAGATGAACGTACCATCCTGATCAAACACTGTCAAAGACCTCTTGGGAGACAGGAGTTTTACAGAGAATAGCCATTTCCAGGTGATAACTAAACTTTGATGACAAACTCCATGGGGATTTGCAACAAGAGATTGAAAGACAAGACTGAGTAAGCCATTGCCTTCTTGCCTGAGAGAAACAGGAAGAATTGAGAAGATTAAAAATGTGACTAGGAGAGCTTAGGAAACTAGGTGAATGACTGGCTGCCCAACTTTGACAATACAGTCACCAAAAAGTCAGTAATTCTTCTTTATAGTGGGGGCTTTGGGAATTTTGGATAACTGAATGAATTGTCCACACTTGGTTTATGGAGACTAAAATAGCTTCCCACCACTTTGGAGAATGAACTGGTAGTTTAATATTGTGGTGTAGACAAGAACATACAACTAGGTACATTACACAGTCACACTTAGTATAACATCTCAATTGGTTGCTGTTGGTAGCAGTGGACCTGAAATCTAGGCTTAGGGAAATGAATGTCTGGCCACGCACATATCTCTACTACCTTAAATCATGGTGTGTTAGGATAGGCATGGTTGATGTGTGGCACGTGGATTTGTTATGTCACACAGCCACTCTACCTGTGGCAGTCATCCTAACAAATCACAGAATTCTTCCCTATTCAAGCAGGCTTAACCATCTCAACCCAGGCTCTTGGAAGCCGACTTCCAAGATTGGTGTAGGCTGGCAATTAAAAATCATTTTCCCTCGCTTTGTTAAGGGATATTTCATGTGTCTGTGACAGAGTACCAAGGAAATAAAAGACATCTTTGAGAATTTGTTTTAATACTCATAAATCAAAGAATTCCCACCAACTTACCAAACACCTTTTAGAAAGCATTCATTGCTTTTCTTTTTTCAATATCTCGCTTGAGTTGACAAAGGGTGCAAGTAGGGAAAAATGTCAGGCATAGGCAATCATTGCAAATAGATCCCTGTTAAAAAACAAACAAATGGATCAAGATGTAGCCTATAAATATAGTCACACAATTCTTTGCATTTGTATAGCTTTTCAAACCTCTTTAAAACGTACGTTTTATGTTACTTGTTTATCATGAGAATTCTGTGACATTATCCCCATTTTTCTGATGACCCAGCAAAGTTAAATAACTAGCTAAGATCACATAACAAATTGGTGGCAGAACGTGGTCTTTCTCTTCTCAAGCAAGTGATTTTTTCCTAATATTACAACATTTCAAATGATCTGCAGGTTGCAACCGTAGCCCCAGTCCTCTATCTGTTCTGGAATGGTTCCCTTTAAAGCCTGTTGTGTAATGCACCAATTTTTCTATAGTTTGTGAGTAGTGCCAGACCTGGCCTCACCTTGTATCCCTCTAGCCATTTTTGTTGACATCTCGCATGTTTACTCTGCAAGGGAGGAAGTCCAGAGCGAGGGAGGGATATAAATTACAGGGAAAAGAAAGAAGGGAATGAATAGTGTTTGGAAAAGCCACAGAATGGGCTACTTTGCACAGTTCTGAGGGCCCTCTCCCTGGAAGGATCCAGTTGGGTCCTCAGTGACCCTCTGGTCGAGACGCCCCTGAAGAGAGTCCTGTTCTGCACAGGGGGCACTGGGTGATCCAGGGGGTCCTAGTCTGACAACCAGGTTCTATGACTGTGTGTCTTGACTGATTGAAATAATTTTGAACTCCATTTTTTGGTAGCACTTATTTTAAAAAATGTTGAGTTTAATCCGATTCCCAATTTACAGTGTGAGCTGAGAGAGAGAAAGAGAGAGATTTCTATAGTAGATTCAGTTTTTAAGGGTTAGGAGCTCCTAAGTGGTGAGATTATGAGTGATTTAGTTTTCATGAAACTTTTTTTCCATTGCTACAGTGATTTTGATTCTCTTCTGACAGGGTAAGCATGTGGGACAAAGAGTGGACAAATAAATAGCAACATTAAAAATCTTCTAGGGCCGGCCCCGTGGCTTGGTGGTTAAGTGAGCGCGCTCCACTGCTGGCGACCCGGGTTCAGATCCCGGGCTCGCACCGACGCGCTGCTTCTCTGGCCATGCTGAGGCCGCGTCCCACATACAGCAACTAGAAGGATGTGCAGCTATGACACACAACTATCTACTGGGGCTTTGGGGGGAAAAAATAAATAAATAAAATCTTTAAAAAAATAAAATAAAATAAAAATCTTCTAATGTTGTATCCCTCATCAGATGGAGGAATAGATATGCAGCTTGAAGACAACTCAGTCTCTTAGCCTTCTCTTTTTTCCTGTTAAATAATCCAAATTCCTTTAACCCTTCCTTATAGTACTTGTTTTTTTCAGTCTTTAATTCATTATTTACTTTTTATTCTTTTTATCTTTTAAATCTTCATTAAACCAACATTTACTGAATATATATAACATGCCACAAGGAAGAAAATATTCTCATTTGATAAGGAGTTAATTACTTTTCTGTTCCAACATGTCTATGTCTTTTAGCTCAGGTAGGTTTTTTTTTTATTTTTTTGGTGAGGAAGACTGGCCCTGAGCTAACATCTGTGTAACATCAGTGCCCATCTTCGTCTATTTTGTATGTGGGACGCCACCACAGCATGGCTTGATGAGCAGTGCATTGGCTGGTGCCCGGGATCTAAACCCTCGAACCCAGGACTGCCAAAGCAGAGCAGGTGAACTTAACCACTATGCCACCGGGCCGGCCCCTACCTCAGGTAGTTTTCAGGGGGAAAAGAAATCCCACTATTACTTGCTGAGAAATCTAGAGAAACCTATAGAAAACACACCTGATCCTAAGTCTGTTTCATAATGCAGATATAGGGAATATAGAGAAGAAAAAACCCTCCTTTTTCAAAGTGAGAGGAAATGAATTATAGGTTTATAACACACTGAAGTTAACAAGGGACATAAATGCCTTGACCAGAACAGTTGCTCGGGAAACAGATGGCAGAAATAAAGATTCTGAGTTCGCCACTCTGTTTGGTTAAAGGGGATGGTGTTTCACTTGTTTGGAAACTGTGCAAAAAGAAGTCTTGTTTTGAGCACTATTTACAGAATCATTGACTGAGTGGATAAATGAATGGCTTGTGGTACATGGCTGAATACACACCTACTCAGGTAGGCAAGATGGGAAAGTGGGAACAACTAGACCTTTGGAGTTAGTCAGAATAAACTTGAGTCCAGATTCCAGCATTTATGGGTTCTGTGACCTTAAGCCTTTCTCTTTCTCTTTCCATATCTACAAAGTGGAGACTAGAATCCTTGCAACACAAAGAGTTTGTAAGTGGTAAAGAGCAAATATATGTCGAAATAATATCCTAGCACATGGTAGTGCAATCAGTGTTTGTTTCCTTTCTTTCTCCTTCTCGCCCACAGAGGCTGTGCCGCTGGCCAAAGGGATTCTCTCTTGGCTGTGTCCATGAAGGGAGGGGCGGATCAGAGAGGCTGCACTGTAGCAGCCCTGTAAAAGTTTGTATAGATGTGAAAGAGAAACAAAGCAGAGAGTCTGAATTATACAAATCGGTCTGAGGAATTACTAGCCATTTTAGAGGCTGTTCTAAGGAGCAAGAATAGAGATACACTGTCTATAAATATACTTGTTTAATGTATGCTGAGGAAATTTACTACATCATAAAACCCTAGACCTAGCAGTGACCTTAGAAATCATCTTGCACAACTTCCTCGTGACAGATAAGAAAACTGATGCCGCCAAATGACTTCTTAGAGAGTCCAAAAATTAGTTTTTTGCTGAGCTTTTCCCAGAACCTTTATCTCCAGCACCCAGGTAAGCGCCCTTTCCTTTATACCATTTTGGGGTCATGGACCACTTTGAGAATCTCACCATCACATCCGTATACATAACTACATACACATGACACTTTCCATACAATTTCAGGAAGTTCATGGTCCAGTCACAGAGTTAAGAGCCCCTGTGTGTTATGCTGCCTTAGGAGAGCAACCAAGTCAGATGGCTGAACCAAACGAGAAATGAAACCAGGGCCCTGAACACATCCCTGCCCTGAGAAAACTGTCTAGTCATTTTCTGACATGAGAACAAAAATAATAACAGTTATTTATTGAGAACTTATTACTTGCCAGGCCCTGTGCTAAGCCCTTTCCACGCATTAACTCCTGTAACTCTTACTATACCACCACGGGGGAGGTAGATAAAATTATTACCATTTTATCAATGAGAGAGCCAAGGCTTAGGAAGGTTAACAACTTGTTCTCGGTCACATGGGACCAATGAGTGAGGCAAAGGCTAAGTTTTCAGGAACAAGAATCCATTATGTCACTTCTTTGTTTAAAACTTTTCAGTGGCTTCCCAGCTCACTCAGCAAAAGCTCAAGTTTTTATAGTGGGGTCTGCAAGGCCCTGAAAGGTCTAACTCTTGCTAATGCTCTGACGTCATCTTCTGTTACTCCTCTGCCCCTCCCCTACACGCTCCATTCCTGCCTCTCTGGCTGCTTGCTGTTTGTGGAACATTTCAGATAAGCTCTACCTCAAGGCCTTGACTCTAGCTCATTCCTCTGCCTGGACCTTCCCCTTATGGGTCATCCTCTCATCCTTTTAGATCTTTACTTTCTTACTGAGGTCTTTCCTGATAACCCTATTTAAAATTAGAAACCTTCAACACTCTGGTCCTCTTCCTTGCTTTATTTTTCTCTGTAGCACTTATCAACATCCCATGTATTATGCTTTCACTTAGTTGTATTGTAGCTGTCTTCTCCCATTAAACAGTAAACTCTACCGTTGACAACCATGACAGTGAGGGTTGATTCAGGCAAGACTCTTCAATGGATGTTAGAACTAGTGGTGGAGGTTTGGTGAGGAACAGGATATTTACATCTCTGTACAAGGTCCTTATCCGTTATAAAGGGGAAAATAGCAACTTTATAGTGGAGAATCCTGGCAGACACCATCTTAACCAAGTAATCAAAGTTAATATCACCCATAAAGGGATCAATCGATGTCATGTGCTTTCTGATATGATGCATAGCAAACAGCATTGCTTCTGTGGAGTTTCTGCCCAAAATGTATAACCTAAGTCTAATATGAGGAAACATTTGACAAACCAAAGTGAGGGATGGTCTACAAAATAACTGATGTGTAGTCATAGAAAAGAAAAGACAAGACTGAGAAACTGTTCATATTGTAGGAGACTAAACAGGCATGACAACTGAACACAATGTGTCATCCCAGATTAATTTTCTTTTCATCTAAAGAATGTCATTGGGATAATTGGTGAAGTTTAAATAAGATCCATGGATTAGCTAGTAGCATTAATGCTAAATTCTGGATTTTGATAATTGTATTGTGGTTATTAAGAGAATGTCCTTGTTTTTGAGAAATACACGCTAAAACAGAGGTAATGGCATCGTTTGTGATTTACTCTTAGATGATTCAGAAAAAAATAGAATAGATAGATAGATGATAGAGGAAAGTGAAGAAATAAAACAAATGTGGCAAATTTTTAGTATTTGGGGAATATGGTGTTCAGGAAGTCTGTACCATTTTTGCAAATTTTCTTTAGGTCTGAAATTATGTTAAAATAAAAGTCTCAAAAAAAAAGAGCGTCATGAAAACGCACTTTGATTTCCTTTGTTCACCGATGTGTCTCCAGCACCTGCAATAGTACTTGGCACATTCTGTGTACCCAGTAAATCCCTGTGGAATGAATGAACACTGGCTTATGAGTCACCCAGGAGGCAGATGTGCCAGCTATTGAGGGGATCCACTTCACACTCTTTTGTTTTTGTTTCTGTGAGGAAGATCAGCTCTGAGCTAACATCCAATGCCAATCCTCCTCTTTTTTTGCTGAGGAAGACTGGCCCTGGGCTAACATCTGTGCCCATCTTCCTCCACTTTATATGGGACGCCGCCACAACACTGCCTGACAAGCGGTGCGTCGGTGCATGCCCGGGATCCAAACCTGGGCCACTGCAGCGGAGCACGTGCACTTAACCGCTACGCCACGGGGCCGGCCCCTACACACCCATTTTTACCCAAGGCTTTCTAAGAAACTGTCACCAACCCTGCGGATTTGCCAGGTCCTCTCTGTGACTCCGAGTAAAGCCAGTAGAGGCTAAGGGCCCTGTGCTGGCCTCCATGCCTCATCTACTCACCTCCAGCAACTTTTTCAGAGACAATAAAAAGATTTTATTACTAATGTATTCCAGAGTATAGATAGCTGCATGGCCCCTGTAAATCACTAAAAAATTTAGGACAGTAGTGGAGAAAAGGCCAGCCCTGGTGGTCTAGTGGTTAAGATTCAGCACTCTCACCCCTGCGGCCTGGGTTCATTTCTGGTCAGGGAACCACACCACCAATCTGTTGGTTGTCATACTGTGGTGGCTGCATGTTGCTGTGATGCTGAAAGCTATGCCACCGGTATTTCAAATACCAGCAGTCACCCATGGTGACTGTCCACCATGGTGGACAGGTTTCAGTGAAGCTTCCAGACTAAAATAGAGTAGGAAGAAGGACCTGGCCACCCACTTCCGAAAAAGTTGGCCATGAAAACCCTACAAATAGCAGCGGAGTATTGTCTGATATAGTGCCAGCAGGTAAGAGGACGGCGCAAAAATACCAGGCTGGGTTCCGCTCTGCTGTACACAGGGGTGCTAGGAGTCGGAATCGACTTGATGTCACCAACAACAAGTGGACTAGGGTCAAGCCATGAAGGTGAGGAGGGCAATCATGGAGATCCAGTCATATTGGAGGAAAGCCCTCAAGGTGTCTGGGCCACCACCTCACAGTGGACACTTGGGTGACTTACCGGGATGCCATATCGGGTCCGATACATGGTCCTCATGGCAACACTTCCTCCCCACAGGCAGCATTCGTTCATGTCAGAGGCGATCTGACATGAAAGGCACAGGGGAAAGAAAGTCCCACAGAGGCCTGAGTGCAGGGTGAGACACACAGAGGAATTAGTCAAAGTCATCATGGTTTCAACTAAATCACTTGGCTTTGAAAAGGATGCTCGCTCAGGTAATGGCCTTAGTGGACACTCTGAGAAAACAATGTGGTCATCTGGCTTTATGTCTTGCTTCTAGAGCCTACTGTCCAGGAGTTGAAGAAATTTGCATGTCATTATACTAGGTCAGATTTAATTGCAAAAGCTCCTGCTTTGCCAATCTGAGCATTTTCAAATTATCTTTCTTCCCTGCCCTTGATTACATTTGAGTCATGCTTGCATAGGAAGTTTGTGGCGTCAGAATGTCTGGGAGGACGACTGAAAACTATGGTAGGGTGTTGAGGGTCAGAAAATGCTCAGTGGAGAAATCATTAGGATCAAAGTGAGAAAAGCAGTAAGGAATAGATTCTAGATGGTAGTTTGGGCAAAGAGTAGAGCCCTGTTACCGTTATGAGGATGGAAGCAAGTGGAAGTTATGAGATATTGGCATCAAAAGCTTAAAAGCCTATTGCAATTTCACTTGAAAGAATCTGTATGAGACAAAAACAGGCCTAAGAAAATAGCAATAAACGGAAACTGTTCTCAAATATGCTCTGAGAACAAGTGTATTTCGAAAAGCTCTGGGGTGGAGTTTTGATATGGCTGTACCCTAGATAAGATAAGACAGTCTGTGGTTTTTGATTGATTGTTTTAAGCAAAAGGCTATTTCCAATGAACTTGGAACTTCCATTATACACAAAAACGGAGGCTTTTTCTTAGAGACAGTGGAAAGACGAGCTGCACAGAAAATGGCTCCAGCTCATGGCAATAGACTCTGAAATAAGGAAAATTTTCTCACACAAAAGTGTGTTTCATAGTGTAAAAGAATTAGAAGTCAGTAAAGCTAAAAACCTGCAATGCTTCCCGAAATGGAACAATCCCAAGAGGCCAAGAATATCAACAAATGCTGGAAAACACAGAGTCAGTGCTGTAGGAAACGGCAGGGGTACATGGAAGACAAACTGGAGAAACATGTCAAGAAATGAGGGTACTTAAGAGGTGAAAAATGTAGTGGTTAAGTGCGTGTGCTCTGCTTCGGAGGCCCAGGGTTCGCAGGCCCGGTCCTGGGTGCACACCTATGCACCACTTGTCAAGCCATGCTGTCGCAGCGTCCCATATAAAGTAGAGGAAGATGGGCACAGATGTTAGCCCAGGGCCAGTCTTCCTCAGCAAAAAAAAAGAGGAGGATTGACATCGGATGTTATCTCAGGGCTGATCTTCCTCACAAAGAAAAAAGGAGGGGAAAAATGTTAACAGTGTTTGATCTAGACAAGAATCACAAACTCAAGGCCAGGCAGGTGAAATAAATGAGTGCAATAGGTTGGAAAAAACACAAAATAGACAATAATGGATGGTGGACATAAATGTGGCAAACTGCAGGGTGAATATCCCTTCTCCTAGGGCTGGCAGCAGCTGACCCCTGCCACGTGAGAAGGAGGACTCCTCTTTCCAGATTTTCCAAATTTTCAAGAGAAGTTGAAAATCTGGATTGGAAAGCAAGATTTTTATGTGAAATCTGATTTTTATGTTTCCCACTATTTTAAAATTAATACGTCAAGAGGATTCATGATGCTCAGCACAAACAAAACATATCTAGTGGCTAAATCCGCCCATGGGTTTCCAGCTTGTGACTTCCAAGTTAGAGAATAAAATATGGAACTCTGTGAGAGGATAAATAAATGGTTTTTATGATGTCAGCAACGTGCATTATTGTGGTCAAGGGGAAAACAGTAACTGTGCACTTACAAATCGCCATGTCGTCGAAGCAGTCAAAGACGCCACTTTGCCACTCACTAGCCGTCACACCCCCTGCGCCAAATCTTGGCTGCGTAACAACTGGATTCATTTTTAAAGCTAAGTTCGAAAGGGCACTGCCTGTGAAAACAAAACCAAAAAAATATTAAACCCCTAACTATCAGATGGATGTAATGTAGATACCAAGTGAGAAGACATTTCTTCACACCTCTCTGCTTAGGGGTGGTCACGTTCAATTAATTTAGCATAACATTCCAGACTATTGTCAATATTGGGGAATTAAAAATATAAAGGAAAGGGGATGAGGGTTCTTTTCTCAGGTTTTGTGGGTTTTTTGATTTGTTTTTGCCCCTTTCACCAATCTCTCTCTCTCTCTTTTTTTTTTTTTTTGGTGAGGAGGGTTTGCCCTGAGCTAACATCTGCACCAGTCTTCCCCTATTTTGTATGTAGGATGCCTCCACAGCATGGCTGATGAGTGCAGTAGGTTGGAACCCGGGATCCGAACCAGGCCACCAAATCAGAGCTCATGGAACTTTAACCACTTGGCCACAGGGCTGGCCCCATCACCGATCTCTCTATTCATCAGCAGATTTTTTTTTGCTATTTTCAAGACAACCATCCTAAACAATGTCTGTTTTGCATTTCAGTGTTTCTATTTAATAGTAATTATAATCATTTTTACAAAGCTATTCCACAGACATAATCTCAATTGCTCCTTAAAAGAACTCTGTAAGATAGAGTTACTTCTCCAGAAAATAGTGGTTATTAAAACTGATACTTCTAGCTAATGTCAGCATTCATTGTACAGTTATTAGTGGTCTCCTGAGAGCTAAAGTTTCAACAGATGACCTAGGTTACTTTAGAAAATGATTAACTTCCTTTTGGAAGGTGTTGATACCAGACCCGGTGGGACTGGGGTCCCGGGTGAGACCGACCCTCAGTGTGGGTTCTAGACCTCACACATGAAGGAAGTCAAGAGTGAGCCAGGGGCCCGCCTGGTGGTGTAGTGGTTAAGTTCACATGCTCCGCTTTGGCGGCCCAGGGTTTGCAGGTTCGCATCCCAGGGGCAGACTGACGGACTGCCCATCAAGCCATGCTGTGGTGGTGTCCCACATACAAAGTGGAGGAAGATGGGCACAGGTGTTAGCTCAGAGCCAATCTTCCTCAGCCAAAAGAGGAAGATTGGCAATAGGTGTTAGCTCAGGGCCAAACTTCCTCACCGAAAAAAAAAAAAGAGCAGGTCAGGAGAGATTATGCAAGTTTATTAAAAGGCAAAAGCCAGGCTGGTTAGAGAGACATTGAGGAAGGATAGCAGGCTGGGCTTGACCGGGTGGAAACTGACTGACCAACCCTGAGTGTGGGTCTGGGGTCCTGATTTATAGTGGTTGAAGTGGGCGGCTGAGGATTGCTCAGTTTAAAGTGGGGAGGCGGGCTGGCCACTGGGCTCTGGTCAGTCTGAAGTGGGATTCAGGTTGGTCACTGCAGACTGGTCAGTTTGAAGCGGGGATGTTTAGGCAAGTGGAGGGGGATGTTCGCGGAGCGTGGAGTTCCTAGAACTTGTGAGTCGCAGGCAGGCCGATGGTTAATCCCAGACGCTGGATGACAGCTGCATGCTGCAGCTGCTCGAGAGACAGTTTTTGGTTCTGTCTTTCCCCTGTCTCAGTGTCAGGGCAAAATCTGAAAAAAGAGCCTTCAAGGTCCCACAGAAAAACCCAGTTGTTGCAAAACCACTAGGAAATAGTGGACCCTGAAGCCAGGTGGTGCCTATAGTTTTCATATTTCATCCAGCAATCAAGTTAAGTCTCCTGAGCTCTTACCCAGTCAGAACTCGCAAGAGAGAAAATGTGTTTGGTTTGACAATGACTAGTGTTAAAACTTACTTTTTTACTATTTTCTGTCCAACCATATGCTGTGCTCTGTAGTCTGGGTCCCTGCTCACTTCTAACACTTCCCTTGGCCAGTCGCAAGGCCACCCTCACCCCTATTATCCCTCCCCTTTGCTCTCTCCATCTTCCTCCACCATGTTGCCAAGGAATGCCCCAGTGAAAGATTTTACCACAATGCTTCCGATCCCGACTGGGTACTAGGTTGGTCCTTAGTGCTTGGTTAGAAATATAGATAACTTGATTCTGATTCAGGAGCCTGGGGTGTGTACAGTTTTTAAGGGGTGACTCTGATACAGCCAGCTCTGGAGACCACTGTTTACATGTCATTTCACTCTCTCTCAGTCCTTCCTCAACAGTCTTCTTAGCTCTTCGCCTTGCCCAGCTCTTCCTCCAGATAGATTTTTGTCTACTCTGAAACCCGTGGCTGTGATCAGTTGATTCCCACCAACAGCTGAGGCCCCACAAAGAGGGCTGGAAGTTCTGTGGAATAATAAAAGCCCAGGCCCTTTGAACTGCCTTAGAAAGGTACCGCTAATGTTTCTTATCAAGCACTTGCTTGATGATGCAAAGGGAAAACCACCCAGATTGAGACGGCTCTGTAATTATGGTTAAATCACACCAGGAATCATGTTTGAAACGCAAAGTGTAGATCAATGTTTAACTAGAATCTGAAGGTCTTTCTCCTCTCTGATTAATTGGGAGGGTAGTGGCATCTGTGCAGATAATGCAGGAGAACGTCGGGCTATTGGGTGGTGCACAGGCTATGACCTGACAGGCTAAAATCATAAAGGGCTGACCAGGGAATCCTACAACACTGCTTGGCGCACAGTGGACATCTAAGAGAGTGTTGCTGAAAGAATGAATTAGCAGAGAGGAGGTGGTTAAAAGTCATGAGAATAGATAGTATTTCCTTGCCTAATCAAATGCATTTAAATTGTGCAGGATAAGGCACAAACTTTTTAGTTTTTGTACAGGAAGAGTGTTTTGTAGTTCTGGTTGTGATGGAGTCTTATTAATTAAAATATTCTACCTAGCAGATATTTTCCACTGGTTTCTGTCTGTAGACATTCTGTCTTAGAAAACTACTGTCACATTGTTCTCTAAAATTTGTGGTGTACTTATTTAAATACAATAGAAAACTTGCTTATAATTAATGAATTTTCCTTTTATTGTTCAAACTTTTCTATGGGTAAGAATCACCTGAGGGGCTTGTTAAAAATTATACAGTCTGGGCCGGCCCCGTGGCTTAGCGGTTAAGTGCGCGCGCTCCGGTGCTGGCGGCCCGGGGTTCGGATCCCGGGCGCGC